TGAAGCTCTGGGCCCCTGCGTGTGCTGGGGGGGTGGGGGTGAGGGGGGCTGGGGGTTGGGATAGTGTTCTCTCTGGCTTACTCATGACCTTCCCCTGGTGTGCTTGACATCAAGCCAGTGGAGGGGGAGGGTTAGGCCTGCCCACAGGTGCTCAGAGGGCGGCGAACCCCACAGTGCACAGCTGGAGCTCACGCACCCTCTCGTTAACCACGGTCCTTGCTGACTCTGGTGCCAGGGTCCACACGGTCCCGAGGAAGCGCAGCCTGGGACACTGGGCCCGCTGCCGCCCTCAGCGTTTTACCGTCAGTTGGTGTGGCTTTTTTGTGTTTCATTTTGGTGTGTTTTTTTTTTCTTTTTACTTCTTTTATTTTTATATTGAAAATTTTGTTTGGTTTTGGTGTTTTTAAATGAAAACAGGCTCCCCTTACATTTCAGCTGTCCCCCTTGGGTGAAACAGCCCAATGAGTACATTTAACACGAGGCTGCTGTCCAGGAGTCGGGGCTCTGACAGGTGATGGGGTCCCTGGGGCGGCGTCCAGAGGTGAGAGGTCAGGTGGGAGGTGGGGCTGGGCTGGGGGAGGGAGCCTCTGAGTCCTGCCCTGGTAACGGTCTTCCCAGAGGCAGAGGCCAAGAGGATGCTGGTGACCTGTGGGCTGGTGGAGAGTATGTGCGCCCCCGCCCCCTCTCAGGGCACCTTCTTCTGTGCCCCCAACCCCGTGCCTTTGTGACGTCAGCAGCTTGGAGGCTCCACCTAGGACGGGGAAGCAGGGAGCATGCAGGGTGTCCCGAGTCACATCTAGCACCACCGGTGGCAGGACACCCCACACTCGGGGTCGGGGAGCGTCCCGGAGTGCTCCCTGAGGGGACCCTGGGAAGAACAGGTTGGGGGGCCAGAGCCCAGGGCCCAAGTGGCCCTCTGGGGATGTGCACCCCCGGGTATGCAGGCAGGAATTGCAGCGGACATCGCCTACTCCGCGAGCCTGGAGCTCGCACCAGCGTCTCCCTGTGACCAGGTGTCCTGTGCGGCTGTGGGGTCGTCCTTCTCTCCCTGGGCAATGCTACCCACCGTTGAGGTGCAGGAGGAGCCCCCCACCGAGACCCTGGCTCCTTTGCTGAGGTTGAGCTGGTGCTCCTGCTGGCCAGCGAGGTAGCCTGTGTCGCAGCAGGACGAGGACAGGATAGACACACCCGTGAAGGACAAGGGCCCAGTGCAGTTCGCGGACCGGCCGCCAGGCCCAGCCTGCTCCTGGCTGTCCTCAACTGCCCAGAGCTGCCTTATCTCCCCAGGCCTGGCTGCCAGCACGCGCGAGCACAGCCCCGCTTATCTGGGGGTGCCCGTGTGGGGAGCCTTCCCAACGGCACCTCTGCCCCTGTCGGCCGGCCTGCTGGGGCCGGGCCCTGTGGCCGCCTTCCCGCTGCCCACTTGTGGGACACAGGCCCTGGAGGGCTGCGCGTCCGTGAGGACAGTGGCCACACTGCTGACCCTTGGCACGTCCTCCCCTTACACCCAGGGTCCCAGCATCCCCACCAGACACCCGGCCGCAGCCCCCCTTCTGCAGGTGTCCGGTCCTCAGGCAGAGCAGCTGAGATGCACAGCCAGCAGCGTGGGTCCCTGAGGAATGCGTGTGTTTACTTCAGATTATGTCTCGTTTTGAAACTTTTTACGAGAGGAACGCCATGGAGAAAACTAAAGCATTTGTTTATTTGTCAGCGAAAGTCAGGGAACTTTAAAGTTTCATCAGATACTCAGTTTTTCTTTTTATAAAAGAAATGGATGTTACAAGGTAGCTTTGTTCTGTGAGCAGGTCCCTTCCCCTCCCGCTTGCAGCCCACCTTGCCTTGCCTGTCGGTGCCCTGGGTGCTTTCAATGTGACCTAGAGCTGCGTGTGTGTGTGTGAAGAGAGGCTCTCCGCGCCTGCCGGGCCGGCTGGGGAAAGGTCAGGTGTGGGCACCACGCATTCCTGATGGAGGGGCAGTGGCGTGCAAGGGGAGGGACCCTGGGCCTCTGTCCTGCCACGGTGACCGCCGAGACCAGCACAGCAGTAGCGGGCAACGTGGTAGGACTGACTGCGAGCCGGGAGCTCCGGGCAAGCCTGTTTTACTTCCTGGAGCCGGATTTGTCCCCTGTGAAATGGGGAAAGGGGTGGGAAGACCCCAGAAGAGCAGGGGTGGCGTGCAGGGCTATCCAGAGCTGTGCCCACGTGCCGCTGCCAGGAGACCAGCTTGCCAGGAGCCGCGTGGGGCAGGGTGTCCGGCCTTCCCAGAGCACTGCCTCCCCGTGCTGCTGGGCCACACCTCCCCCACCGGCCCTGCCTCCCTGGGGCATGAATGGGGGTGAATGGGGGAGTGATGCTGCCGGCTGTGGGCCGCCTCCTGCCCGAAGTGCATCTGCATCTGCGCAGAGTGCTGGCCACCTGTGCCTGGCGAGGGGGGCCGGGCCTCTGCGCCAGTACTGGCACACTCCCCCCGTAAGGAAATGTGACGCTGTCTCAGAAAACCCCGGCCCCGCTCTCTCGCTGTGCTGAGGCTCCGGGAATCCGGTGGCAGGAAGGCACGGCCCCAGCCTGGGCTTGCCCTCCCAGGCCCTTCCATGCCGGATCCCAGCCGTGTGGCCAGAGGAATCCATGAGCACAGGACTGAGCGCTCCCCTGGAATCCGAGGACACGGGAGTCCCGCTGCTTCTCCCCCTGCCCTCCACAGTGATGACCGTGGGGCTGCCAGATAGACCGCAGAGACCTCGGTCTCTGTCCTAGGTCTGCCCCCACCATGTTGGGGGCAGGGGGCCACTCTGAGCCTCCGTTTTCTCTTCTGTGTGGAGAATGGCAGTGCTGACGTGGCTGGTACAGGACAGCCATCTCCCTGCTGGTTCTGAGAGCCTGGACCGAACACTCCTGGGGCCACACTGAAGGTCCCCCGGGCCGTCTGCCGCATGCACACTTGAAGCCTTTCCTGGCCAGGCTCAGCTCCTCCTTCACCCCTGTGGTGTGGACACTGAGTCTGGAGCCCCACCTCCCTGTGGCAGCTCCTTTTACTACAGGGCCTGGGAGGGGCGGGTGCAGACCACGGCCCGGGAACCCGGGGCTCCTCCAGGGTCCACGCCGGGCTCAAACACCACTGCTCTTCGCTGCCCTGCCCAGCTCAGGGCACTCCTGAGTGTGTCAGCTCTGGAACGGCAGTGGCTGGTGCTGGACTCCGCTCAGCGTCAGCGAGAAGCACCGTGTCGGTGGCCGTTGAATCAGCCAGAGCCCGGGCGGTGAGGAACGAGGCTGGGGGGAGGGGCGCTATTAAGGCGCCAGTTAATTTCCTGGAGCAAAGAGCAGATGGCAGGGTGAAGCGCCTGGGACAGCTCCTGTTCTCTTCTACCTGAGCTGTTGGATCTTACCCACTCATTAGGGCGGGTTTATTTCTTTGGGCCTTAATTGCTCTAACTGTAAAATTTACCGGTTCACTGTAGTTGGGGAAGAAGCCCCCTGGGGTCTGCCAGTCCTGGGCGGGTTCTGTGTTGGGAAGAGAAAAGATGTGCAGACCTTTCCGGCGCTTCTTAACCTTAACTGCAGCCCTTGGAGAAGCAGTGGGTGTGGGGGGCTCGCGGAGGGGCCCTTCCGAGGTCCAGGCCCTGCGGGTTAAAGTCACAGGACCAGCCTCCAGGAAAGAAGGGCCCCGCTCCGCGCCCTTGCGGGTTTCCTGGTATGAAAGCTCCCTGGCAGGTCACCTCGAGCGGCTTCGGGAGGATGCAGCCCAGCGAGCTCACCCCTCCACCCCGTGCACCCCGGGCGTCCTCCCTCCCGCAGCAGAGCGGCCGAGCGTGCCAGCCACCACTATTGTGCCGGAAGGCCTGAGTGTTGGGGATTTGTTGCCTTTGTCTTAATGCAGTTTGGCTCCATGGGAAGTGGCCACGACGACGGCCAGCTCCCGAGCTCCCTGCACCCTTCCTGCGTCTCCCACACACCCGCTGTCTCACCACACAGATGCCTCCGCTTCGGGTCAGGGCCAGGGGTCTCCCGGGAGCCAGGCAGGGCCTGCTTGTGCACATCTGGGCATATCGGTAGAGCCGGGCTTAGCCGCCCGCCTGTGCCCCCCGACCCCAGTACCACCTCCTCTCCTGTCCCAGTCGGGCGACCCACTGTGATGGGTGTGATTTCCAGTTTTCAGCACATGCGGGTAAAATCCCCAGCTGGGTCTGCTGATGTATTGCCTCTTGCTGACCCCCTCCATTGGCCTGGCCTCTCCTTCAGTCTCCATTTCATGTGTCAGAATGGCCCCCCACGGTCCCAGCACGTGGTTTGTCATATGAATTTATGCTAACTGTACCTCACTTACCTGTTTCCTCTGTGGGATTCTAGAAGGTTCTGTCTGCAGAAAGGGTTTCCCACCTTGGGTAGGCGAGGTGGACTGTGTGGGTTTCCCACCTTGGGTAGGCGAGGTGGACTGTGTGGGCACCTAAGTTGGGCTGAAATGGTGGGAGGAGCCTGTAGGAAGGTAGGATTGTGTCTGTAACCTGCACTCTGAAGATAGGGCCCCAGATGTGCCACAGGTGCAGCAGGGGTGGGGCGGGGCTGTGGGCAGAGGCTGGCAGGGGGTTGAGATTCATTCATTAAAAGTTCTTTGTGGCACAGGGGTTCCTGGGGGGCTCAGTCGGTAAAGCGTCTGCCTTGGGCTCAAGTCGTGATCCCAGGGTCCCAGGATTGAGTTCCGCGTCAGGCAGTGGGGAGCCCTCTCCTTCTGCCGCTCCCCCTGCTCCTGCTCTCTCTCTCTCTCTCTTTTTCTCTCTCTCAAATAAATAAATAAAATCTCTGTGATAACCCAAGGGTGGGTGGGACTGTAGCTGTTCTGGGAGTCAAGAAGCCTGTTCTCAGCCTCTGGCCTTGAACTTGGAGAGCCCAGAGCAGAACCAGGCCTAGAAGCTGGGAACTGCAGAGGCTCTGGGCTCCCCTTCCTGGGGGTGCCGGTGTCCCCTGAGGCCCTGTCCCGTGTCACTCACTGTTGCCCTCTGTCCACAGTGCTGCTCACGGCCGTGAACTGCTACAGCGTGAAGGCCGCCACCCGGGTCCAGGATGCCTTCGCCGCGGCCAAGCTCCTGGCGCTGGCCTTGATCATTCTGCTGGGCTTCATCCAGATCGGGAAGGGTGAGTGCAAGCCCGGGATCCCCGTCCCTAAGTGCCCCTGCCCGGAAGGTTCGGCACTCCAGCACGCACGGTTTCACTTGAGCCGGTCATGCTGTCCGGCAACAGGCACTGACGTCCTTATGGAGACTGAGCAGCGAGTTAAATCCTGAGTGATGGGGAGAAACAGACCCACCCTGGCCCCTCCGAACCCCACTCTCCTACCCACCTGCGAGGGCGGGCGTAGGATGGGGACATGGCCATTTGCAGAGGGGCCTCAGGGCTGCGCCTGGCACACGGAGAGTGAGGGGGTGGAACTGTTACCAAGACAATCACACACGGGGGCCCACATCCCACGTGCACGTTCGGTGGGGGTGGCTGTCTGCCAGGGAGGGTATAGGACCTCCCCCAGCCCCAGCATCTTGCCTGCTGACCCTTCCTGCTGTGGGCCACCACCGTCTGACCCTCTAGGTCGCCCACGCCATGTGCTTGGTGGCAGCGTGTCGTCTCCGTGCTGGGGAGGGACGTACACGGTTTCCCCGGCGGGGTGGTCTCTAGCTGATCTCACAGACCAGTGCCCCGCAGGGTGGTCCTTCAGAGCGGGTCACCACGGGGACGCACAGCTACGTGCACGCAGAGGACACACAGAGGCCCGGCTGGTGCCCCACGGCCTCTGTGGTGGCCTCGCTCCGTGTCCAAGCGCTCTCCAAGCCCTGGGGTGCCGGAAGGCAGCACCTGTGCCTCCGGCTTAGTGGGGTGCTGGTCGCCTGCTTCACCGAGTCTCGGGGTCAGTGGGAGAGCCGGGGCTAGGGCCGGGTCTGTGCCACCCATGGTCGCAGGCCAGCCCAGGGCTGCCCCTCATGCGCAAGCTTCTCAGGCCTCTGTGGGCGTCTTCCCCCCCAGCCCCCACTCTTCACGTGCAGGTTAGCTATGAGTCGAGTGGGTAGAAACCCCGGAACGGCCCCGTGTCTGCCGTGTCCTACAGGCTTCTGCCTGTGATACCCAGAAACCCATTCTTGCCGTTCTCAGCGCCCCTGCTCCCTTCCTGTAGCGGCCACGCAGGGCACCCCACTTTACAGGAACCCAGCGTCCACAGACCATGGCCCATGCAGGGGGGATGTTTGTGATTCAGGAGAATTGGGTGCCCGTGGGCCATCTCTGGGGCCAGAGAGAAGCCCACGTGCTGGTCTGTGTCGGCCTAGTAACATGGCAGGGAGAGTCGGGTAACTGAGGCAGACCATCTTTAGCGGACACGGCCCGGGAGTGAAGGCTTCTCACGTGGCCCCTGCCCCTCACGAGAACCCAGCACCCACGAGCTACGATCAACACCTGATTTCCAGACCCCTTTCTGGAGCAGGTGGGTCACTGCTTTGGGGGCCAGACCTCCTCCCGGGAGCCCGTCTCCGATCACCCAGGAGATCCTTAGTACCCTCCCGGCCTCAGGGGCGCCGACCAGGCAGTGCTGGGGGGTGGGAGCGGCCCCCAGTCGGGGCCGCTGCTGCTCTGGGGCTCCCACCGCACCCCAGGACTCCAGGGTCCAGCATCTCCTTGATAGGACCGTATCTTTTTCCTTATTCCTTGAGTTCTGAGGACCTGGTCAGGGCTTCCCTGTGCAGCATCGTGAGACAGGCCGGGCGGGACCCAGCGGGCCAGACTGTGCGGCTGGGAGACCTCTGATAGATCTGCTCCGGAGGGGATTCGCTTGGCTGCTCTGATTAGCCACAGGCAGATGAGGAACGTGGAGGGGGTGACCTGACTTTTGTAAAAACACATTTTGGTCTGAAAAGCAAAGAGCTTTTGTTGGGCTGGAATACCTAATGTGTTTATGATGTTGATGCTGTTGAAAACACCTCTCCCCGCCCCGGCCCCTTAAGCAGTTCCTTTCTGAACTCGGGATACAGTGCGGCGTCTGCAGAATTCTGCCTCCTGGTTTTCTCCAAGAGCTGTGTGTGTTCCCAGATGAATGCCTCCCCTTCTGGGGGACACATGGTTGTAAAGTGGACCCCCTTCTCCTCCAAGGAGTCTGTGGTCTGACTCTTCTTCCCTCGGGCATCCTGCCCGTCTTCCTGGGTCCCCTTGCTGATGGCTGGCGGGAGGGCCTGGATCCTTGGTGCAGGGGCTCGGCTAGACTGCTTGGCTGTCCCCGGCTGGGTGGTGTCACAGCACAGACCCCACATGCCCTGCTCCCCTAGGCTCTGAGTGCCAGTGTTCTGCCCCAGCCCACCGAGCACCCGGGGGACCCAAGAGCTGCAGAGGGGGTCTGAGTCCAGCTCACCTATGGTCAGCCCCCAGGCCTCAGCTGGTCTCATTCCCTCGAGACCCGTGAGCTGTCTGCCCTTGTTCTTCCCTCTGCCCTTCACTGGAAATCTGAGGCCCCCAGTGTGACTCAGTGCAAAGCCCTGACAAGGACTTGGCCCTGCTGGCCGGGCTCAGCTCTGGGACGGGGGCACCAGACAGCGCAGAAACAGGAGAATTACAGACAGGCAGATGGGGCGCCAGCCCAGACCAGGACTGAGGGCGGGGTGGGGGTGCTGGAAGAAGGCACAGAGCTAGGGAGACAAAGGGGCAGCTCTGCATGGCCCCAGGCTGGGATCTTGGTGTGGGCGCGGCTCAGCTGCCCTGCGGCCGGGGGTGGGAGGCCGCCCTCGGTGTCGGGCATGCGGGCCTGGCGCCACGCAAGGTGCCTGGATTCGCTCCCAGCATTTTCAGGAGGGGATGGAGCTCAGGCCAGCGTTTCAGACCCAGTGGCTCCCATACAAAGCAGGGCAGGCGTCCGACGAGCAGGCAGGCAGGGCGGGCGGAGGCACTAGAGTCCCCTACACGCCCGCGGCCTACACCTGCCTTTGTCCTTTCGGTCTGTGGATTCCTTCTGTGTGTCGCCCCACAGAGACCATGGCCCCGAGGTCGGGCCGTTCCCAAAGCCAAGTAGGCGTTTCTTAGACCAGAGGTGGGAGTGGGGTGCTGAAGGCGCGTCCCTCTGCCCAGGTCCCTCCCAGAGGATGCACAAAGGGACCTTGTGGTTCTGCTCGGGCCGCGGCATGGGTGGGAGAGCGGTTTCAGTGCGGACCGCCCCTCGTGGACCGCCCCTCGTACAGATAAAATGGCCCGCGGAGTGCTGTCCGCCTCCCACGCCGCGTCTGAGCAGGATGTCCTCTGCTGAGGGAGGTCGTGGCAGGCAGAGTCTCCATGAGCCAAGCCCGAGCCCTGCAGCAGCTCGCACGGGTTCACCCCGCTGCCGGGACGTTGGCCCCCAAATGCTGGGGGACATGGGTGTGGTTTGCACGGTGGGCGGAGGCTCCCAAACCCGGCCTTGATTATCTCATAGGCCCGGGCACTGTCCCAGCATGATAGGGGCATCTCGAGCAGGGGACGTGTGGGAGATGGCAGGGCGGGAAGGGCGAGCCCTTGCAGTGAGCAGCACCGAGTGGCCTGTCGCTTCTCTTTGTGCTCCCGGGCCTGGCCTCCCCCGACGGAGACTTCAGGGCCCATTTCCCCAGGGTCGGGGTCCTGCCACGGCCGCAGGGCACTGCAGCGGGGACCGTGCAAGGCTGGGGTTCGGTTCTCTGCTCGGGGCAGCTGGGTCCCAGGACCAGGGAGGGGTCGGGCAGGGCCCTGGGCAGTGTCTGGAGCATCAGGTCACAGGGCTACGGAGGGAAGACTTGTCGTGAAGGGGCCATCGGGACTGGCGTGGTGGTTTTCCCCTGTGGTCGTTCTTTGATAATTTTTTTAGATTTGTTTGAGAAAGGAAATGTGTGCGGGAGAGGGGCAGAGGGCGAATTCCCAGCAGGCTCCCCCCGAGCGCAGTGCCTGTTGCCCGGCCCCATGCCACGACCCTGAGATCAGGATCTGAGCCGAAATCATGAGTCTGATACTCAACCTACTGAGCCCCTGGGTGCCCCATTCTTTGGTCACTTTTACTAGAGGCCTTTCCCCTGGGCCCTCGCGCACCTGCACTAAGTCAGCGCCCGGAATCGGGACAGACTGGCGATCACGTGCTTTGCTCCTGCCATCCAGCCTGAAAGCCAAGTCGGGGCTCTCCCGCCGCAGCCCTCCGCCTGCCCGTGCCCTGGGCCATGGCAGCCCTGGAGGCCTGTGCTGGGCACACTGGTTTCTCAGAGGTCTCTCGCAGCCTGCTCAGTGGGGAGAGGCCCCTCTGCAACTGGGATTTGAGATTCGAAGTAGACCTTGAGGCCAAGGAGCCCATTCCTCCGAGGGTCTGCAAGAGGGTCCCAGGGGCAGACGCCGGCCCGGTGAAGAAGCACCGACCAGCCTCCCAAACCCGGGTTCTTGCCCGGACACCAGGCAGAGACAGGACAGCACCGCCTGCCGGACACGTCCCTCTGGGGGGGGGGCGGGGATGGGAGAGAGGAGCCCACGAGCCGGCTGCAGAAAGCCCCCCTCCTAGCGTGCTGGGCTCTGGCTAGAGCAGGAGACCCATCGCGGTGCTTTCTGCCCAAGCCCGTTAAGGGCACCGGCCACACACAGCCCACTCACCAGGTGGGACAGCCCCAAGGCCCCGGGGCCCCACGCAGGACAGCCTGTCATACAGAGCAGGAGCCTGAGGCCAAACACCATTTACTTGGCCAGTGATGGCAAAGGCGGGACCCAAGGCCACAACTTGTCCCAGTCACGCCCGTGAGGCACAGAGTGGAGACCAGAGCATCTGACCCAGACAGAGTGAGCCCATCAGTCTGTCAGCAGACAGTGTCCTGTTGTCCCCTCGTGGTTCTGGGGAACAGAAGTCCAGACATAGGGCCATACTCTCTCTGAAATTTGTTTGGGGAAGGGGGTCCCTCCTCGTCTGTTCCAGCTTCTGGCGGTCCCTGGCCTTGTGGCTGTGGCACTCGGCCATCTCGGTCTCATCCCTGTGGCCCGTTCCTGTGTCTCTGTGTCTTTCAAGGACACTGGGGGGCTTCGGGGCCTACCCTTATCCGTGATCTCATCTTGTCCTCACCTTGAGTCCGTCTTCAAACCAGGTCACGTTCGGACGTGCCGGGTTAACAGTTCTTGGGGGACCCTGTTCACATCTCATGACATCAGTGACTGCCCCACAGAACCCCGGAGGGATCAAGTGGGAAAAGAAGCAGAAGCTTCCAGCATGGTGGACGTTCCCCAGTTTGGGGCTAGCTTTCTCACAGTGTCCCCATCCCAGGAGGGGTGCCCCAGGGCTGCTCTGCCTGTGGGAAAGCATGGCGAGGGGGTGGGGCCGTCCTGAGGTTCTGGGATTCTCTGCCGCTGCCCCCAACTGTCCATCTCCAGATCGCGGCGTAGACAGGCTCCCGGCGCCCTGGAGAAGCCGAGGTGAGTGTCTGACCAGACCTTCCCCCCTCGCAGAGGCCAGGTCTCAGGGGACACAGGCACTGTGGGTAGCCCTGGTCCTCCCAGCACAGGAGCTGGAAGGCTGGCACATTCCCCTGGTGGGAGGAAGGACCACGCCTGTCCCCACGTGCACAGAGCTGCTGCTGCCTGTGGCTGTGTCTGTGGGACACTGGGCTTTGGGCTTTCCCGGATGGCTGCTCCCTGGGGCCTTGAGCTTTCCCACCCCCGTTACCCCGGTCCGCAAGGGGTCCCAGCGGGTGGGAGGCAGGCCCAGCTTCTGGCTTTGCGCTGACATTCCTGTTCCCAGAGGCCCTTCTGGGAGGGTGCGGTCAGGGGCTGCGTTTGGGGCTAGAATAGGCCAACATGAAAGGCCACGGGTTTGGGGGCTCCTGCAGTGCGGGCAAGCCGAGGGCCGGGACCCAGCCTCAGCTGGCGCGCCGCCTCCCCTTGGGGCAGCAGTTAGAGGTACCTCTGAGGTGTGCAGAGCAGGGGTGGTCCCAGGGTGCCCGCGCCCCCAGTCTTGGAGCCTGCGGGAGGACCTACGCCGTGTCTGCCTGTCACCGTCGTTCTCTGGCCTGCTGTCGGGGATCAGGTAGCTTGGCACATGGTGGCCCTGGAGGACTGTCGTCATTCATCTGTGTCTGAGACACCCCGTCGGGGGCCCAGCACAGTCCGCGTGTCTGCTCTAGCAGTGGGAGCGGTGCCCGTGGGCCCAGCATTGGTCACCCATCTCGTGAGCACAGTTTTGCCCCGTGTCGCTGCCATCTGGGGGAGCCGTGCTCAGCGTCCCAGCGTGCTGAGCGGCACTGCCTGCTCCCCCCACCAGACAGCCCCCACCCGGCCCTGACCAGTCCGCGTGTCTCCAGACACTGCCGCACGTGCCCCGCTGCAGCTGGCGTGGGGGTGGGGGGGGGATGTTGCGACCACACGGAGTCTCCACGTCTCTTCCACGCCTAACCCTCGCTCACCACTGCTGCGACGGCTGGGCAGCTGCTAACACATCCCGACACGGCGGTGTGGCCGTCTCACCCGCCTCCGGCTGGAGCTGGTGGAGACGGGCAGGCGGGCCCTCCTGCCAGCTCACCAGGCCTCCCCGAAGACCACCTGCTGTTCAGGCTCCAGCCCCAGCAGGACCCCAGGATGGCAAGGGCGGGCGCAGCCACGGTCCCTGAGCAGTCACCCCAGCCACGTGGCTCATGGAGCCAGCAGACCCAGTGCCTGCTCCTTGGTGCCCATCAAGAAGGAGGGGGCAGCGTGCTTGGCCGACGTTGGATCAGGAGCCTGGAGAAGCTGCGGGTTTCCCTTCTGGGCTGGCGTCCAGCGCGGTCTGAGTCTGAACAAAGCCGGGAGCCCTGCTGGGGGTGCATGCACACCGCCCACTCAGGACAGGTCACTGTCAGGCCCCTTCCTCTGTCCCCGATGTGCAGTGGGGCACGCTGCATCTAGAGAAGGTGGCAGGGGGCGTGACAGCCCCGAGGAACTGAGCAGAGGGTGGGCTGGCGGCCAGGAGCAGTAGCCGAATCCTTGGCAGAGCTTTGCCAGCTGCCCCCATCCGCCCCAAATCCTCCGCACCAGGAGAGAAGCTGGGTCTGGGGACACTGCGGGATCCGGGTGTGCCGTCCCTCTATGAGCCCGATGTCTGCTTTCCTCCGAGGGACCCTAGGCACTTTGCAGGCAGGAATTGAGGTCTTAGATGGCCAAGGGCGGTCCCAGCAGATGGCCCAGCACACTTGTCCTAGGAGGAGAAGTCTTTGCGGGCTGTTGTGGGGGGCCTGGCCGAGGTCCCCAGTGAGACACTCATCTGTGTTTGGTCAGAGCAGTAGCATCTCCTCGGACTCGCAGACCCTGCAAAATCAGGCTGTAGATCCCAGAAAACGCTGTCGTATGTCAGGAAGTCCAGTCGCTGCATGACCGTCTCGGGGAGATGACCGTGTATCCATGTCCCAGCTTGGAGCTGGTGGCCACAGCGGGAGTGGCACCTGAGGAGGACGTCACGGTTGCGCGGGACTTCGCAGGCTGAAAGCCCCTGGTTCTCACCTGCAGACCACAGGCCGCAGGTCCCACCTTGAACTTTGTCCCCGTCCCGGCACTGCACCCGCAGTTGCCAGGAATCCCGAGCGCCCACATCTCACCCTTCCTGTACCAGCCCGGGTGCTGGCCCCCAAAAGTGACCTCTGCATGGAGTGTCTCCAAGCCGCACGTGTGTGCACAGTGTCACTAACTCTAACGACTGCACCTGCCCGCGCATCTGCGTCACAGCGGAGGGAAGATCTGTAGTTTGAACCATACGTGACACACGCGCGTATGTTCTAGTAGGAAGAGGGGCAGGTTCGTGAGACGGTCTTAGGTTCCAGACACGTGTGCGCCACATGTGAGGGGTCCTTCCGCAAAGCCTCCCGTGCTCCAGAAGCAGCTCCGGGGACCTGCGACCCTCACAAGCTCCTACGGAGGGAGGGTGGTCTCAGCGGGCTCCCCAGGCTCTTAGGGGCACCTCCAGGAGGTGCCGGGTGGTGTGGACTGCACACGCGGTCCCCAGAAGGGAGTCTCCCGTCGTGGTCCTAGATCCCACTGTGGGGATCCGGGGGCAGGTGGCCTGAGCCTCTGGGTCCCTGGCTGCTGGCCAGCAGAAGCACGTGGACAAGGCCGTGGGGTGTGGTGGAGCTCTGCAGACGTGGGGTGCATGGCAGAACCTTCCTGTGGGCGCCACCAGGAGGGAGCCGCGGGGGGCTCCGGGCACTCTCCTGGGTGCTGTTGAATGAAAGGTGTGCCATCCTGAGCCCACTCTCGGCACGGCCCCCGCCCACCCAGCCTGCTGACCACCCTGGGACCAGGCAGTCTGAGGACCTGGGCCTCCAAGACAGGTCACACGCGGGCAGGGGGTGAGGGGGCGGCCGCCCCAGGGCCAAGCAGTCTATCCCGAGACCTCGGCCAGGTACCCCCCCACACACACCTGTGGGGTCAGGACGAACAAGGCCGAGGGCGGAGTCCGGAACATGGAGGAGGTCGGAGCTGCTCTGAAGTGCAGGCTTCTACTGGGTGGGATGACAGGGTGCAACAGCAGCTCCCTTCCTCAGTCCCCTCCACAAGCCCCCTCCCCTGCTGTCATTGTGTCCTGTTCCTGGGGTGACTGAGGCCCCTGGTGGGAAGTGTGGGAGACCTTGGGCTCCTGGGGGTCTGCAGATCCTGGCTTTGGGCTGGGGCCACATCCCTGCCTCACCCTGCGGTGCCTGGGCCGATGGCTTCTTAGCTGGCAGCGCACGGGCCTTCGCAGGCAGAGCCATAAGGACTCTGTTAGAAACGTCCCCGAACTAACGAGCTGTCCACATCCCACCAAGAGTGCAGTACCGCCCCCAGCTGTGTGTGCCTGGCAGGTGGCCACAGCCGGGTGGGCTGAGTGACCGGCCATGTCCCGTGTCCCTGCGGCAGCTGTCCCCAGAGCCGGGGCGCTGGGAGCACTGGAGAAGCATGGGGCTCACAGGCAGTCTGGCCCCTCATTACGGAGCAGGTGGTTCTGGGCCTGAGCATACTAGGCTGAGCGTCAGAAAGAGCCTGATAGCCAGGGTCCCCCCCAAGACCCCCATTCCCTTTCATGTGTGCCAGTGTGGGTGGTGGACCCAAACCACTGTCCCCTGAGACCTGGACCGTGCCCTTAGGTTGAGAAAGGGTCTTCACGGTTGTATTTGAGGAAGTGTGAGACGGGACCATTCTGGTTCGGGATGGGCCCTAAATCCAGTGACATGCATCCCAGTAAGATAGAGGGGAGACCCAGCAGAGAAGCCACAGGAGGATAGGGGCAGACACTGGGGTGGTGTGACCGCACATCAGGGCCCCCTGGGCTGCTCCCGGTGGAAACGGTCAGCAGAGAGGTGGATGGAGCCCCACTGGGCCCTGCTGTCATCTGTCTGGGCAGACACCAAGGCTGCGATGACCCCAGGGATGGCTGTCCGGGAGGTGCCGGCCCTCACAGCCCCATCACTTCGTACCGTCACCATCTCTGGGGCGGGCAGGTTCCAGGGACACATCTGAGTCATCGGCGAGAAGTTTTCTGCTGATGCTTGCCACCAGGTCACACTGTGAACGCTGTCCCACTGCGAGGAACCTGGCTCTAGGGTCAGCAGCCCAAGATCCTCCCAGCACGAAGGGGGCGCCAGGACTGCAGCCCAGGTGTCCCTGACCTGGGGCTCGTGTCATGGGCTCTGCGGGGGGTGTCCTCCGAGATGACCTTGGCTGACCAGCCCCACTTCTGCCCCGATGAACCACAGGTGGGCGCACACGGGCCCCCACCTCCGCTCGTGGGCGTCCTGCCCCTCAGCACATAGTCCACTGGGCTTGGAGTGATTGAGGGTCTGCAGCACTACCTCCTGCTCGCGGGGCGTCTTGGGGGCCATCCCCTGGGTCCCCTGTGCCTGCTCACTCCCGGCCCGAGTGTAAGCGTGGGAGCACTGGCGAGGCAGTTCAGCAGGTGCATCCAATTTGCTGCCCTGGAAAGCCTTCACTCCAGCATTTCTGTTTGTGCCTGAGTTTTGCTCCAGGAACATTCCAGAAGTTGCGGTGTGACCTCCTTGCAGTGCTCTCTAACCCAGCATTCCTTTGTCTGTCGGGCCTTTGCCAGGTGACATGTCCAATCTGGATCCCAAGTTCTCGTTTGAGGGCACCAAGCTGGACGTGGGGAACATCGTGCTGGCGTTGTACAGTGGCCTCTTTGCCTACGGGGGATGGTAGGTTCTAGAATGTCCGGGTCTCTGGGCTTGGGACACACCGGCTGGGTGGGCCCCCAGGTGTCCAGGAATCAGGTCTCTCGGCCGCCCGAGGGCAGTTCCGGGGAACACGGCCAAGGCCGTGGAGCTGCTGCTAGCCCTGCGCGCCCCGGAGAGGCACAGACATGCGCCCGTGCAGCCGTGGGCACTGCTCATGGCGAGCCCACTTCCTGCAGGCGGCCCTCTGCTGACCGGCGTGGAGCACTCAGGCTCCAGGTGCTGGGCTTGGTGGTTCTTGACCGCTCCCCACCAGGAGCGAGGTGCCTGCCTGCAGCTCTGGCCGACGCCTTCTGTCCCCTTGGGTCCCCAGCCATGGCCTCTGCTCTCGGGGCAGGCTGTCCTGAGCCACAAGAGTGGCCGCGGTGGGCGGGCAGGCACAGAAGGTGCCGGAAAGGGTCAGGTAGCAGCCAGGGAAGCCGTGGAACCCGCTCAATGTGGCAGCACTTCCCTGCGGACACGGAGGCCCGTGGGGGCTGCCCTTCGGGTCTCTTTCCCCACGTGGCCCCTGAGCCTGCCCGTGCGTGCTTGGAGTGGACGGAAGAGCTGCAGGTCTGTGTGGGGCGAGGTGCACGGGGTTCCCCTCCCGCCTCGGGCCAGGCTGTGCCTCTGCCTCAGAGACGGTGCTGGCTGCCTGGGGCGGGGAAACAGACTGCACTGGAGGACAGGCCCTGGGGGTGGGCAGTGCTGGCTTCGCTCAGGACCCGGGCCCCCTGCTGCTCACCAGTGGGGGGCCCCGCACATGGGTTGGGGATCCCCACTCCACGGGCCCAGAACAGCCAGGAGGGGCTCCCTTGGGATCGGTGTTGTTTTCCCTAAGCGTTGTGTGAGGGACGTGTGGTGAAATTCTGCTCTCAATTCTAGGAATTACTTGAATTTTGTCACAGAGGAGATGATCAATCCCTACAGGTACGAGCACGCACAGACTTGTGTCACCGTAACGCGAGAGGAGGAGGAAGCCTGGTTATGTCTCAGCCAGCTCCGGGCCGGCCTTGGAGGGGCAGGAGGGTCGCTGGGGCGGGGTGCCGTCCTCACGGTGGCGGTGTGACCTGGAACCAGGCTCCCCCGCGGGCCCGGGGCTGGAGCAGCGGAATCCCTGGCCCAGGTTCACACCACCGCCCGCCTGCCAGTTTCCAGCCCCTTCCACATGCTGGCAGCCGCCTTCCCCGTGCAGCGAGGCTCGGGACCCGGCCCCCCATGTGGTGGAAGGGGCACCCGCTCCTCACCGTCCGGTCCGGCCTGTGCCAGGCTGCCCTTGGATGATGTCCCCCTCCCCTTCCTTGCAGAAACCTGCCCCTGGCCATCATCATCTCCCTCCCCATCGTCACCCTGGTGTACGTGCTGACGAACCTGGCCTACTTCACCACACTGTCCACAGAGCAGATGCTGACGTCGGAGGCTGTGGCCGTGGTAAGATGCCACCCAAGCAGACCAGGCCCCTGCGAACCGCTCCCTCCTCGGGAGGGTTGAGTGGCGCTTTGCCAACCCCCGGAAAGAGTGGGCGCTGGCCCTTAACCCCGGGTCCCCCTGAGACTCGGGGGTCTGCCCCACGCCAGGTCCCGGCCTCCCCCAGGCCACGTGTGGGCCAGCACGACGGAGCCGTCTGGGCGTGGGGGAGGGGTGAGTCCCCGGTGAGCGACACCTCCAACCCTGAGCGCGGGGCGGAGCTGCTGGGAGCCTGAGCCTCCTGCACGGGCGCCGTGGACCCTGGGCTTATTGGATGTGGCATTCCCGGGCCCAGCAGAGGTGGCCCCCAGACCCAGTGGACTCAGCTGTGGCAACACGCAACCCCTTCTTCTGAATAAACACCCAGTTCTGCTCTTGGGCGGCGGGACAGCGCTGGGGGCCCAGCCAGAGATGGCCGCGCTCCTTTCCCTTGAGCGGATGTGCTGGTGTGGGGACACCATGCCCAGGGACCCCCGGCGTCCTGTGGCGGGGACAGGTGCCTGAGGGTATGGATGAGGACTGAGGCGCAGCGCCCCATGCTGACCCAGGTTCTGTCCCTGGGGCTGCCCCCAAGGTCCAGACCCCAGGAGGCCACTCTGAGTACAGACATCTCACGATGAGCCCGTGGGAAGCTGTGTAGGCAGAAGCATGCCGGGGCCCGGCTGTGAGGATGGCCGCATGGCCTGTTGTCCGGGCAGAGAGCTGAGGGCGCTGGGCTGGGGCCCTGGGGCTGAGGGGCTCATGCTCCCCGTCTGCCTAGGACTTCGGGACTTACCACCTGGGCGTCATGTCCTGGATCATCCCCGTCTTTGTGGGCCTGTCCTGCTTCGGCTCCGTCAATGGGTCCCTCTTCACGTCCTCTCGGTGAGCCCCCCCCCGGACCCGCCGCATCCCCCGGGCCCTGGGCGCAGGGAGGCCACCGCATACCACCTTCTGACGTGCGCTCCGAGTCTCACTCTGGCATGTTTGAGGGGTGCAGAAACAAGGGAGCCACGAGCCCCCCTTCCCCCAGCCCCCAGCTAGAGGTAACCCAACCATGTCCTTCTGGACTCTTCCTTGCGTTCATTTAGAAACCCTGGCCAGCTGAGCCCCTCAAGGATGCTGGGAAGCCCCCGCAGGCAGCCCGGCACTTGGGCATGGGCCCTCTCCACTCCCTGCCCTGCCCGGGGGTGTGGGGGGAGGGGGCTAAGCGCCCGCTCCTACGTCCACAGGCTGTTCTTCGTGGGAGCCAGGGAGGGCCACCTGCCCTCCGTCCTCTCCATGATCCACCCCCAGCTCCTGACGCCCATGCCGTCCCTCGTCTTCACGGTAAGTGGGCCGCGCCATCCGCGCCCTGTCTCCATCCGTCCGTCCGGCTCCGCGTGCTGTCCACAGCCTGCACACTTGCCAGAGTGGAGACGTGAATAATTAGCACGAGTGCTTCTTCATGTCACGCTTCGTACATTTTTCTTTTTGAGTTTTTATTTCAAAAATTACGCATAGTAGTTGTGAACCAGAAGGCTTGGCAACGGTGTGGAAGCGTGTGGGGCGGGGTGTCGGAGCTAGCTGTGCGCGGGCCGCTCCCGGGAGCCCCACGCCGTGTCCGCGGGGAGGGGTGTCCACAGGCGGGGAGGGGTGACCACGGGTGGGGAGGGGGGTGACCGCGGGCGGGCCGCGCGCTCCGCGTGTGCTCGTGTCCCAGCCCGGCCTTGCTCTGTTCGCAGTGCATCATGACGCTGCTGTACGCCTTCTCCAGAGACATCTTCTCCGTCATCAACTTCTTCAGCTTCTTCAACTGGCTCTGCGTGGCCCTGGCCATCGCCGGGATGCTATGGCTCCGCTACCGGAAGCCTGAGCTGGAGCGGCCCATCAAGGTGAGCGGCCCACCGGCTGGGGCTCTGCAGCCACGTGGCTCCGTGCCTAGTGGCCCGTGGCCAGGCAGGCTGCCATCCCCCCCTTCTCTCCACCAGTCAGGGGTGAGGGCACTCTCTCCAGAACACCCCGGAGAGGCCCGAGTCAGATCTCTGTGCACGTGCTTCTGAGCTAGACAGGGAGCTAGTTCACGTGGCCGTAACCAAGAACTCTGGGGCCGACCGCGCGCTTCCAGGTGCGGCGGTTCGTCACTGAACAAATGAGACCGTACGTGCCCTAGAGCTACTGTTCCAAGGAGGGCAGAGTGATAAGTGAGACCCCCACATGCCAGGTGGGGGGCTGCCGAGCACCGCAGGGCAGGGGGCCAGGTGAGGCCCCGACCAGCCTGGGAGGACGGGCCCCAGCGCAGGAGGGGAGACCAGCTGGGGTGCGGGTGGAGGTGCCTGCCCTGGCCATGGCCGTCCCAGGAGAAAGCAGGGTGCTGGCCTTTGTCTGCTTAGGCCTCGGGTACGGCTTCCCAAGGGTGACCCTGTCTCTCCCAGGAGGGTAACCATGAAGGCCCCGTGAGCACGTCAGCCATGGCCCAACCCTCTTGTGGCCATTGGGCAGCCGCCGGCCAGCAGCTGCTGTCCCTTGTCCAGTGCGTGCTGGTGCGTGGTCCTCGCAGTGGGCACCTGTCCATGAGCCTCCTCCTTGGCAGAGAGCCTAGCAGGGCCTGGGACGGGTTCTTCTGGGGGGACACAGGCAACCTCAGTGCCTGGGATCAGCTCGGCCCTCGCTTGTGGTGGGGGGCGCTGCCCCACTGGGGCCAGGCGGCCAGGGTGGCATGCCCCGTGGGCTGAGTGGGACCCTCGCTTGTCCCTCATGCTCTAGAGTTTCTTTCAGTGTGTAGACGCTGACGCGTAGACAGCCTGGCAGAAGGCTCGGGGAGCAGACGTGGGGTGAGAGTCCCGGGAGCGGCGGCCAGCTGTGGGTGTGGCTGCGGCTCTGCGGCCTTGAACGCTGTTTGTGGGCCGCGTGCCCATGGGGCACAGACCACAGCCCACCTGCCCACAAAGGGCTCTCTGAGGAGGCGGGTACTGCTGTGGGATTCATGGGCGGCCACGGTCTTCCCAGAAGCGCCGGGCCCCTCCCTTGGGTGACCGTGGGTCAGGGGCTGAGCCAGGCCTCCACCCTGTGATGGAACCAGGAGGCTGACCTTCCCTGACCTCGGGAAGCCTCAAGGGCCCGACCTGGCTGTGTCTGCGCTCCGTGTGCTCGGAGCAGTTCCTGTGTGGCTCTGCACTGAGGGCGGGTGGAGCTCCCCATTGCCGACTCAGAAAACCGTGCAGGTCAGAGCCAGTGGAGGCTAAGGCCAGAACAGGCCCCAGAGGTCAGAGCTGCTCTGAGCTCGGCCGCGACCCAGCGGCGCAGGAGTGACTCAGAGCAGGGCATGCAGGGGGTGCCCGGGGGTGGGGGTCCCAAGGGAAAAGACACCTCCGGCGAGGGTGTGCTTTCGGCAGGGTGGACGGGACTCGGGGCAGCAGGCAGTGGGGGGTGTGGGGTGGGAGGCGGGGGCACAGGCGGCTGGTGTCAGGGCCTGCTCCGTCCCCTTCCAGGTGAACCTGGCCCTCCCGGTGTTCTTCATCCTGGCCTGCCTCTTCCTGATCGCGGTCTCCTTCTGGAAGACCCCCGTGGAGTGTGGCATCGGCTTCACCATAATCCTCAGCGGCCTCCCTGTCTACTTCTTCGGGGTCTGGTGGAAAAACAAGCCCAAGTGGCTTGTCCATGGCATCTGTGAGTGTCTCTGCACCCCAGGGCACCAGGGCTGGCCTCAGCTCCCCCAGCCCCCTGCCCCCACCCCAGACCCCAGAGCAGGGCCGTCTGCAGCTCTGGTCTAACCCCCCCATCCAGGAGCAGAGGAGCTCCCACTGGGCCAGGGTCAGCCAGGGGCGGTGAGGGGTGTGTGAGGCCCTGGCTTTGGGGCCAGCAGTGAGGTGTTCTCGGAGCTTTGGGGTGCTGTGGCGTGCTTGGCGGTGGCGTCCGGCCCACGTATCGCAGGGATTAGGCGCTCAGCGCAGCGCCCGCTAATCTCAGAACAAGGGATTCCCGGGGACGGGGCTGCGTTGGCCGAGTCATGAAATCCCACCAGCTTAAGCACAGCCGGCTGACCTAGAAAGGCAGAGAAGGACAGTGTGGGACCCTGGGATGCTGTCCTGGGCTCCCTTCACCAGCCAAGCTCAGGCCCGTGACTGAAATCACGTCGAATGTGGCGGGCTTCGGGAAAGTCAGGGCGTCCGCAGGCCTGCGCCCTAGTCACCCTGGGCCAGGCGGCCGTTCTGCCTTCTGTCTGGCACCGCCTGCTGGTCATTTGGTGAAGCTTTGCTTCCGGCCCAGCCCATTGGCTCCCTGTCAGTCATCTTCCAGAACACGCCACCCCGGGGGCCTGGAGCAGGAGCCCCCCCATCCAGAAATGAGTGCTTGCAGAGGCTGCGGGCAGTGGGTGTTGGCTGGGCCCCTGGACAGGCCAGCCTGCGAGTGGCGATCACCCCGAGGAGGCCGTGCCCACCCCCTCCACCCCAGTGTGGCTCCCAGGAGCCCCGGGCTCGGACCTGGGCTGAGGCTGAGGTGCCTCGCACAGCATCCTCCGCCTCTCTTCGGGCTGGCGCCCCACAGTGGGGAGACCCGTGGGCCCCGGGCAGCTGTGCGCGCACTAGGAGGTTCCGGAAGGAACTCAGGGTCTCCGGCTGCTCGTGCAGCTGTGGGAGGTGTGGCCATGGGGGACGGGGCGAGCTGCAGCCCATGCCGCCCGCGCCCGGTGCTGTCCCCGAGCTAACTCACGTGTCCCCCGCCTCGCAGTCTCCGCGACAGTCCTCTGCCAGAAGCTCATGCGGGTGGTGCCCCAGGAGACGTAAGCCAGAAGGACCTAGAAGCTGCCGGAAAGAAAACGCACGAAGATGGTGTTGGAGCATCTCACCCCTTGAACAGCGACTCTGGTCCCGTCATCCAGGCAGCTCAGCTGAGTGCCCCACGCTGCCCCTCCACCGGGTCGCGGGCTGGGGCCCCAGTGCAGACTGGTACGACTTTAGTCCCAGAAAGCGAACTTTCGTCTTCACTTCCACGAGCGTAGCGCCAAGAAGAGGCCGGGCCCCTGCCCCACCACGGGCTGTTTGTCCGCTGGGGCCTTGTCCTTTCAGCCTTTGTTTATTTGTATTAATTTTTTAACTTAAATTTGGGGTCAAGTTGACACCACCAAGATGATTATTTTCTAAAGAAATGAGGGGAATGGTGAGAGTTTTGCCCTCCGGCCCCTGCGGCTTGACTTGCCTGCGAGGGCCCCGCGCGTGCGGTGGGCTGCGGTGCCCGGCCCAGCACAGCTTCCAGGAAGGGGGGATCCTGAGTCCGCAGCACTCCAGGCCCAGGAGCAGAGCCACCGAGACTCGGGCCTCACTGTGCAGACCTCCGAGTGGCACTGACCGACGGCAGCCCAGACCGCACGCTCGGCTTTCTTTTGTTGTTGTTGTTGTAGACGTAGTGACTTTAGCAAAAACTAATCTCGGGACTTAGTCTCTTTGCCTTAAAGATCCAAGGGTGGATCCCTCCCCGACCCCCAGAAGAGAAAAGAGAAGGTCACTCGAACAGCTGCCTTCCGAGAGTAACCCCAGCCCCGGCTCAGCGGAAGGCAGGTTCCTGCACCTGGTGTCTGCTGCTGGTGGGGGCCCCGGGCAGAGGTCACGGGCGCCCGGACAATCCCGAGCTCCCACCCGTGTGCGCCGCCTGGGACGGCAGAGCAGGGCCAGCATCTGGGCTAGACCCAGTCACCCGGGACACCCTGGGCTTCCGGCTCCGTACGTCCCGCCCTGGACACCCCCGTGAGCTGAGGCATAACACGGGATGACCCTGGGCTGTTCCATATCCGGTACCGGGACTGAACGAGAGGTTTTCCGGGCAAAGACTCGCCCTGGAAATCTAGAAGTGGCCAGGCAGGAACGGCAGACACCATGATGGGAACGCTGAAGGGCTCTCTAGCCGGGTAGTCCCTCAAGACAGTCTCCTCCCAAGGCCTGAAGAACCAACCCCAGGAAGGCTCCTGCAGCTGGCTGGGGCTCCTGGCGCGGGAGCCCCCCACTCCCCCCTGCATGGCCCTTCCCAGGCCAGACTCCACTGCTGCGAAGCTGCTGTCGCTGCACCTGCTCCCGGGGCTGCCCTGCCTCCTTGGGCTTTTGTCTTTGTGGTGCCCATGGTGCTTTCCAGGGGCGGCCGCTGGGGCCAGTGCGGGCTGTAGCCCAAGATGCCGCTTCAGCCCCCTAGGGCCGCATGAGCTTGGCGTGGTCAGCCTGCCGCCATCTGTCTGGGCTCCAGGACCCAGAGCAGCCTGAGCCGCCCGGGAGGCCGAGAAGTCAGCCTGTTGTCCACCTGTCCTGCTTTGTGCCCGAGCACAGTGCTGGCTCTGGGCGGGGTGCAGGGAGCCCATAGGGGCCTTCCCGGGGTGGCCTGCAGGTGGGTGTGGGGAATCGGGGCATGGTTGCCCCTGCCCCTGGGGGACCCGCCTGCCCTCAGACACCAGGTGGTGCTTCCACGGCGGCCTTGGGCCGAGGCAGAAACTCCACTCCTCCTGTCCCCTTTCTACTGACAGGCGTCCCGGGCACGTGTATCTGTCCAGCTTCGTTTTTTTTCCTTGTAAAGCAAACCCTGCCGTAAGCAGCAAGTGTTTGTCCGTGGTCCTGCTGTTTTCTTCTGTCCTGATGTGTCACTAACTTAAAGGATGCTGTGGCACCTTGTGTATCTCTCTGTGGGGCTGAGGACCAACCCTGCCGCACGGCGTTCCCGCTGTCCTGGCGGCCACGTCAGCCCGGCCGGGACACCTGCTGCAGATCGGCGTGTGTGGCTAACGTCCCTTTTCCCGTCGGTGGCTAACCTTTTGCACTTGGTGGGGAGTTCTAGAGATTTTGTGTGTGGGGTTTTTCGTTGGTTTTTGAAGAAAAACGATCAGAATCTTAAGTTCTGCTTGTGGTTTCCTGTGTCCTTTGTTCGGCGTCAGACCCTGGGTGCGGGGGTGACCCTGGGTGTTGTCCCCACGGGGGTGACCGATCGGGCACCTGTTGGCACACCTTGTTCATTCGCAGACGTGGCCGACAGCATGGGAGGGCCCACCACAGTGGCCGTAGCCCCCTGGCTTGGGACGGGCGGTGAAGGCCAGGAAGGAGGCCGGGGGACGCTGAGCCAGAGTTTGGAGGGGCTGTTGCGGTCGAAATGGGGGAGAGTATGGCCTCCGGCCTCCAGGCGGCTGTGGCTATTGCCAGTCCGACACCGGGAGGGCAGGGGAGGCTCTAGCTTGGGGCCAGGAGGGAGGCCGAGCCCTGGAGCAGAGCAGGACTGAGGGCCGCGGCACTCTCCACGGACCCACGGATGACACGCTGTGTTCTGAGCATCAACATTGGAACAGGGCCTCGAGGACAGGCAGGCGAGGGTCTGCCAAGGTTGAAAGGGCTTTGTGGGGTGGCCACGGCCAGAACCTTGGGACTGCAGGTCTGGGTGCTCAGTGAAGTGTTTCTGCCCCATTCCTCAGACGGGCTCAGCGAGGGGAGTGCGACCCGATCCAACCCAAGAACACCAGGGCTTCCTGACCCCGTGTGGACAGGGCTTCCCAGAGCTGCTGACCCTGCCAGACGCCCTCCCACCCTGCCCCGGGAGGCCAGGTGCCCACAATGGTCCATACCCCCCACACACACACCCACACAATCACTGTGCCCCGCCATCTGCTCCAGGGAGCCCCGCTAAACTCAGCTCATGATGCATCCAGGAGCGCACAGAAATCCCACATCCCTTGCCAGGGGAGCAGGTGGGAAACCTGTGGCTCTGGCCCCAGCCCGGGGACAGCTGTCCTTCCACTGAAGGATGGTTCTCAAGCCAACCCACCACAATGGACCCCACTCTTCCTCTGAGGGGTGAGGAGAGGGACGTGGGGGCAGGGAGACCAGAGGGCAAGGGTTGGAGCAGGGAGAGAGGTCCACGGGGTGGGGGGAGTCCTACTAAGCATCCCCTCCACGCTGGACTTCCTGTGGGCCCCCAATTCCTAGGAAATCCTGCTGGCTCGCCAAATTCTCCAGGTGCTTGTATGGAGAGCTGGCGAGGGGGTTCGGGGGGTCAGACCCGCCTCAGCGAGATGGTTACCCATGCCTGTGGAATTGGCCAGAACCACTGTGGGTGTAGGGTTTCCGCAGGCTGTGGAAATAGGGGTCCGGCGAGGGAAATGGGGATTCTGAGCCAGGTTGGAGGAGATGGGGTGACCTCAGGGCCAGGTGTGAGAGCTCGGGAACCTCGGGGTATCCCCAGGACCCCAGGGAGGGAGTGTGTGCCTGCATCCAGACAAGACCCTTTCTGAACATCCCAAATACAGGACCCTTCTGTGGGCCTGAGTCCCGCAAATCCTTGCCCTGCCCCACAACACCCCCAGGGAACAGGCTCCAGAGATGGCGACGGCGGGTGCGGCACCCATGAAAGCGGCGGACCCTGCCCCCCACGTGCACAAGGGTTGTCCGCACCAGCGGTGTGGCTGGGGACCCAGGCGCCCTCCCGCCGCAGAGCAAAGGCTCTGCATTCCCGCATGCCAAGCACACGAGTGCTGCTCTCTGCGCTACCTGGGGTCCGGTTCAGGCAAGACCCAGAAGCTTCTCTCTCCGCCTGAGGGTGACTTCCTGCCGCCAGCAGGAGCCCGGCCGTGTGATTAAAGTCAGGTTTGCAGCACACACGCCTGCGGCGCCCGGCTGACCCGGTCACTCACAGAACAAGCCTCTACCCATTCCCCCGTCCAGGTCAGAGAGGGCACAGAAGGCTCCAGAAGCTCCCTCTCCCTCAGCAGCCTCTGCAGTGTCTGGAGCATGGTATGAGGCCCCCGGGAGGCTCTTCCCCCCCAGAGGAGGGCTCGGGGCCCAGAGTCAAGGTGTGGGTCCATCCCTGCCCACGTGTGGTCCCACCAGACCCTCCCGGGGGAGGTCACCTTCTGAAGCCCTTTGACAGCCTCCCGCTTGAGGTGGGGAAAGCGGCATGTGGACGTCGCCGACCCCGAGGTCAGCCAGGCCCACTGCCCATCCTCATGAGCCGCTCAGACTGTTAACAACCAGGCAGCTGACTTCAGTCGTCCGGGAGCACTTGCCTGGCCTTCCTGGAGGGCCCAGCTCAGTCCCCCCGGGCAGCCAGGGCAGTGGGAGGGTGTTCCTGGACAGACGGCCGCCCCGTCCCGTTCCTCTTGCCGTGGCGACCTCTCTCCAGGCTGCAGGTCCGTCTGTGTGGAAGGCTCGGCCTCGCTCTCGGGGATCCACTGTGGGGGGTAGGGGACTGCATCCAGACTCCTTCCATTGAAGTGGCTGCTGTTTGATTTCTGGGCTCCACTCAGTCCCTGGCGGACGGCAGCAATCCCACACGGAGGGATTTGTTACATAAAACCCACGTCCGGACTGAGGGAGGGACCGTAATTGGAAGGCCTGCACTGTCGCAATTGGGACTGTGAGCTTCCCGGTACCCAGGGGACAGGCCAGGGCTTCTCTTCTGGAGGGTGACCCCACACCTGCAGGCCGTCCGCTGGCTCGTCCTGAGGAGGACCAGGGTCGGTCTGAGAGGAGGCCCAACCACAGTCTGGTTAAGGAGTTTCGTCCACTGGATCGGTGGGATCAGTACTGCCGAGACACAGAGGGAGTTTGGGGACCTGTGTCCGGCCCATGGGGCTGCGGAGTCCCCCACGCCATGAGCGTTCAGGGCTGAACTGAGAGGCACACGCCCCGCAGGGGAGCAGCAGGCGGGAATCCACAGAAGCTGGCGTGGGGCAGCTCCAAGCACACAGGGGAGGGCAGTGCAGCTGGGACGGCCGACTGTGGGGACAAGTGTGTCCTCACCTCAACTGTGGTGGTGGCGGCACGGCCCCGGTGAGTGTGCCAGGAACCACTGAACTGGGCTCTTTACGTGGTGAATGGTACAGCCTGTGAACAGCACATTGCCGTGTGGGACAGGCAGCCCAGGGAACAGCGACACAGGGTGCCACCAGTTTGATTGAAAAGGTGGAACCAGGGACGCCGGGTGGCTCAGCCAGCGGAGCATCTGCCTTTGGCTCAGGTCATGATCCCAGCGGGACGGAGCCGCACGTCAGTCTCCCTGCTCAGCGGGGAGCCTGCTCCTCCCTTTCCCACTCCCCCTGCTTGTGTCCCCTCTCTCTCTCAAATAAATGAAATAAAATCTTAAAAAGAAAGAAAGAAAGAAAAAGTGGAAAGAGTGTACAAATATATTTCCCTGAGGTCGGAAGATCTCTGGGAGAGTCTGCGGGAATCAGCCAGCCCGGGGAACCTCCAGGTAGGGAACCGGAGGGGCTGGGCGTGCGGCAGGAAAAGGGATGGTCGCCTGCGCCCTTTTGCTCCTTGTGGGACTTGAATCACACGGACGATTCACCCGTTCACAAAAACAATACTTTTTGAATGAGCTTTTACAAATCAAGAGGCTCTCTGGGACGTAGACACTGCTCTGTGTAGTGATCTGGGGGGTGCAAATTCATTGGGCTGTGAAGGATTGCGCCCTTTGTACACAGTGCCCTGGACGTGCGGCTGCCTGGGCTCTGCCTTGGTCTCGCTGCGCCTGCTTGATGTGCCCGCAGACCACAGGATCCGCACCCCCACCTGTGAGGACGGGGCGCTGTCATCCCTTCCTTTCCAGCCCTGGCCACGAACTCCTCGTTCCTCAGAAGCTAGGGGCTTCTGGGGCCTGGGAGGTGGGGTACAAGGGACTCGCTTATGTTGACAGACCCCCAGGCTGGTGGGAAACAGAGCCAGGATTCAGCCCTTCGCAGGTCCTGGGATTCACGTGTGCATTGAACCTTTCTCCCGCTTTCCGAGGCTTGGCTCCTCCCCCGGCAAACCCTCTCCTCGAGGCTGCACCTCTGCTTCCAACCTGATGAGGCCTCCTTGGAGGGGTGGGGAGGGTCGGGACCTCTCGGGGACCTTGCTACGGCCCAGGAGAGGGTCATGGAGCCCCGGCTGGGATGACCTCCAGGCTTCACACCTGTAGGCCCCAGCTTGCCATCCCGGGCAGTCACCCCGGGCCGATGCCTCCGCCTTCTCCCCAAGCGGCTGTCAGCCCTGACCGGACTTGCTTCTGGTGGCCTGACTCATCGGGATTTGGCATGCGTCGGAGGAGGACAAAGATGGCTCCAGGAACTGGCTGCCTCCCCAGGCTACCATGGGTCAGAAGCACAAACTCGGAAAGTCAGTGAGCTGCACCCAGACTGTTTCATGGATGGAGACACTGAGGCAGCCGCCAGAGAGAGCGCGTGACAGCGGGAGGCCCTCGGTCTGGTGAGCGCAACCTCGGCTGGGAGTCAGTCCTCTCCACCCAGCGTGACGCTCCCACCGCTTCCACTCACGGCATCTTCCGGAGCAGCTGCTGGACGCAAATGTGAGCAACTCGGGGGTCCCCAGGTGTGGATGGAAAGCAGGTTCGCAGCCCTCTCCCCGGCTCTCTTCCCAGGATTCCGGGGTCCTTACGGCCTCTGCAGAAGGAGGCAGAGCACACCGGGGGCCACTGACGAGGGACGGTGATGAGGTCAGCGGCGGGCTCTCACAGGCACCTCCCAGGGTCCAGAGAGAAAGAGCTAGAAAGTGCACTCGCCTGTGGAAGGCCGGAAGGAGGGGAGCCGCCCCACGCCGCCCCCCACAGATGCTCTTGGGAAGGGAAGGGGGAGGCCACACCAACCACCGCGTGGGGTCTTTCAGGCGGGGGGAAACGTCCAGAGTGGACTCACGGGGGACAACTGTGTGAGCTCTTACAAAAGGAGGCCATCTGACCTCTAGGGCCAGACCGGGGTTCTCTGTGGGGGCGGGGCGGGTCTGGGGCGGGATTTGTTAGATCGGCGGGTCCCAGCCGTGAGGTAGGGTTAGGTAGGGCGGAGGCGTTCAGGACGCTGGTTTCACGCGTCCTGGTTCCCGAAAGTCAGGAAGACCAGCAGCTGGAAGACCAGG